AGGAAAATCATCATGCTTATTACTACTGTGCTTAATTCTTCACTGCTTTTACTTCTTTCTTGGTTGAACCCCATATTTCTTTTCCTCATTTTTTTCTAGAAGGAAGACTCTGCCAATGGTGTGATTCAGTCTGAATATTTTTATAATGTATTTTCTGAACGGTGTTATTTTATAATCATCATGAAGATAATTTGGACACGTAGTGAGTAAGAAACCAGTCCATTCTGAGTAGAACTCATGCTTACTTTTAAAGTGTAACCTTTAAGGATTTTCACTAGGACTTTCCATTATACCATTTTCATGTATAAATACACTGGATAGTTTAGAAGTACTCCTGTTTTCTGAGTGTAATATGTGGCAGAGCCAGAACATGCCTTTAATTATCCTGCAAGAGAGTGAAACTTGATCTCATCTGTTGTCACTGTCCAAAGTTGATTATTTGGAGCGTACTGGTTCTGTCATCCCAGAGGTGTTACATCTGTCGCATCTATTCTGTCCCACAGGCAATTGTGCTTGCATCTTCAGGTCATTAAGAACAGAGATAGTTTCATAATTGTGTGGGCAACTGAGGTTTCATTTCATTCTACTTTTAACTGTGATTTAGCTGTTTTATTATAAAATAACCCAGAAAGAGGGCACATTGAGGCTTCTGTGTTTAAGTTATTGTGTACTAATGAAATAGCTTTTCACGAGCACCCAGAGTCTTCTCCATTTGTTCTGATGCCTTAGATCAAGTGTCTTCTGTTCACCTCCCTCCCTCTAAAAGTGTCAGTAGAAAATGAGATTAATTTTTCTGTCTATCTTACTGTTTAGGTGCTCAAGGTTGAGTGAGAGGAATACCATCAAAATGTTTGACAAACGATGAAGTGAGGCTAAGCATGTCTGAAAAGCTGGCAGCTAGAATTTTTACAGACCATAATACAGGGCAGAGATTTTTGAGTTTCTCATAGAGACTTCTGTTCAAAGCCCTGTCTAGAATAAGCATTAAATGTGTAATTCGAAGCATGCTGATGAAAGTATGCATTGAGTGTTTTATTCTGGGTCTAACATGCAAGTTTTTCTTTTATATCATATGACATACATATGGCAACTCAGATTAGAACCAGGTAGAAAGCATATTTGGAATGCTGAACGGTAGGGATGTTTTCATGGCAGCAACTATCATAATGAGGGTTTTTTTAGTTTACTATTATTAGCTATATTTCAGTCTTCTTGTATCAATATCCTATTGCTGAGTATTGGTTTTAATGGAAATAATGAACAAACTGAGAAGTTTTAGCAGAAAGTCTGTGAAAATTTTGCCATTTGTAACGAAAAGCTTTCCCCTTTCTTCTACCTGGCTCCTTATTACACTTACACTTACACTTACACACACACACACACACACACACACACACTTTGAGCTGCAGTGCCGTAGTGATATAAGTGCATCTCTTTGTTTTAAACCACTGTTTTTGTCATGTTCAGTAATACTGCTTTACAGTGTCCAATACTGGTACTGACTGTTTTTTGTTTTGACCTGTCCTGTTTCTCACCATCTTCACAGTGCTGGTTATGCCAGGATGATGCCCTTCCCCAAACACTAAGAGCATCCCACGTTTGCAATGCTCATCATCTGCTTAAATGATATAAAATATAGGGGCAATAATACGTGGTGGAACTGTTACATTTCTCAACACAATCTAGTTTTTATTGGTTTTGCTAAGTTTGTGTGATGCACAGTTGTATAAGAAGTCTTTTATGTTTGTAGTAAGACGTTGCCTGGCAGGCAGGCCCTCTGTACGTAAAACCCAAAGCTGCTTCTTGCAAATAAACCTGAACTTTTTGTAAGATATTCATTTTAGAGGACAGAGAGTTTTGTTGTCTTCCTCCTGAATTAATCATCTATCTCTGTACTGTAATGAATTTTTTGTTCTCCCATCCTTTCCTTTCATATTTCTGTTTCTGGTGCTTCATGGTTCTTTATTTTATTTTATTTTTAGGTCTCTGCTTTTTGTGCTTGTGGCAGCTTCACTTTAAAGTGTAACTTGATCAGGCATTTATTGATATTTTGATCTCTAAAGCAATACAAGCTAAAGTCTTGATGTATGTATACATATGTTGGTATATGTGGGTTTTAAGATTTCAGCTTCCTTGGTTGTAGAATGAAGATATAATTTTGCAGGTACTATAGTTTCACATCTTCTGTGTAGAACAGTCTGTTTTACCAGTAGGGATTCTCTTCTGGAGATAAGTTTGAGTGACTGAGACTTAACTTCATTGCCTCTCTTTCAAATAGTAAATCCCTGACTATTTTAGTAAGTGTGCTCCTTTTGTGTGCTGCTTGATGTAAGTCTCTGCCTTTTTCTCCTCACCCTGGCTATATAATACCACATTTTAGCCTAAGCTCAGGCTACTGGTTGCCTTAATACCATCTGTGTGGCTTGTTTGCAACACTTATTTTTTTTTCATTTCTGAACCTGTGAATAAAGGAAAAACTGAATGTCCTAGTGGAGCGTCTCCAGGGTATACTAATTTTTCAGGTCTCTCTGCAGGATGTGCTTAAATGTGGTTTGTTTCCTAGGTTCCTTCACGAGCAGTCTCTGGTAAGAAGACAGGTTGTTCCCTCTGCTTTTGGCAATTTCCTTCCATGAGCAGAAAAAGTGCTTTTGCCCTCTGCTTCAGTAGTAGCTCCAAACCTACATGCTGATTGCTATATCAGGAGGCTGAGCATGCAGAATATTCTCCAATGTTTTGTATTCTGTTTGATAATATCTTCCCCCCCCGCCCCCCTTTTCCCTCTGTTTTTCTAACTTTCCACAAACTAGTATTGTGTTAAATATCTAGGAACTGGCTGGGCTTGGAGTAGGGTTTCAAAATATGCCTTAATTGTATTGTAATTATGACCTGAAAGAGGTTTTTTCTTCATTTCTCTGCAACAAGCATTTTTCCTGCCTTCTGATACCTTTCAGATGGGCAGGCAGCGAATTTTCTGGCATATCTTTTACTGATTGCGTAAGTGGCCCTCTGCAGTGGGGCTAGTGGACTCCCTCAACATGAGAACTGCAGTTGGTTTTACTTGCCTGCCCCAGGGCTAACACGGATGCCATTGGCCAATGTTAGCAGTGGTTGGGGTAGTTGGATAGTATAACTTAAGGGTAGCATAAAATAAAATCGACTTTACCATTGAATTAAAGGAATGATACACAGACTGTATGAAACGTACTTTGCCATTTAAGCAAGCTCCTTAATTTTTGAAAATGTATCTGAAGCTACTCTAGAGTGCCTGGTCTACCACAGTGGAGCGCTGCAGAATCCAAGAGCCTCGCCACAGGATTTAGGTCACCCTTGCTGCGGAGCACACAGGACCTGGGGTATTGTCCCTCTTCCTGAAATTCCTGAATCACCTCCTGGCTGCGTCTGACATCTGGTTTTTAGCTCTCACTCTTCGCTTCGATTTCATATGTTGGTGCTTTAAGTACTCAGTGTTGTTTGTTTTGTGCTGTGTGAGTGTAAATGTTTAGAGATTTCCAACACAGGCTAGTGCTTCACAGTGTTCATGTCCTGCTTGCTAGGCTCATGCCAACAGCTTTTGACATCTGGTTGGTATGTTTTGAACTCTCTTATACTGTCTGGCACCCATATTGCAGTTACTTGACAATAAGTAGATGCTTCCTACCTTTTTCTGGAACTCTTCAACAAACGGTTTGTGCAGTGCACCCCATGTCCTTGCACTAGTGCTCTAGTGCACTGTCACGTGGGCGTAAAAGACGAATGTGTGCTGCATCTTGTCTAAACTGGGAAATCATGAAACTGCTTGGTTGGCAGGATCTCTTCACTAACTTCTCCCCAAAAGCTGGGGGGAACTGCCAATTTCTTCTGCATTTGGTAGGCATGGGATGTTTATACAGGGAAGTATTTCTAATTGGTTATTGTGAAAGTTTTTCCGGACAATCAATGAAAGATGCTTCTGGGTAGCTTCCAGTGACCACAAGGAGTTAACTTTGCCGTTTCCTGGCTTGAATTGGGACTTGCAGGTAGTTAATTATGCAAATAGCATCCAAATAGAGCTTCTGCACGAATGGAAACTTGTTGCTTAACAAAAGTGCTTACCAGAACCTAGAGAAGTTGCTGAAAGTAAAAGCTCCGCATTTGCCCAGTTAGAGGTGTGTTTATCTTGCACTAAAATTCGTAGAGAGCACAGAAGAGGCAAAGACCTGGCAGCCATTTTCAGAGGAGCATCTTTTGTTGCTGCTGCTGAGAAATCTGTAGCTCACCTTTGGATGATCAAAAGGATAATTTTATATCTATGTTTCAAGTAAGATTTTAAAAAACATTCTGCCTTTATGGGCTTTCATATTCCTTTAGTTACTCAATACTAGGATTATCTACGTTATATCTTAGTTTTTTGTTCAGGTAATTACTGTATGACATATTTTTCATATCAGTAAAAATAGATCTGCAGGTATAATTGTGGGCAGTGCAGCCATGGAATTAAACAGTCATGAGAAAGCAGGGTATTTTTTAGCATTCTGCCTGAAATTGCTATGTTTTAGCAATAGCAACTAGGAAGCTACAGTTTTCAAGAGTTACAGAAGAAAATGAAATGTAAGCAGAGCTGAGGCTAGTCTGTCTAAATACAGCTGCAGGATAAACACCTCTGCAGAAAGGCACATTTAGAGAGGATTTCTGTGTCCAAGTATGAAACCCAAGTACTGTTTGTGTTACAGTCCTTTTGTTGGCAGTTTTGTGTTTGTGAATACAGTTCTCAATTATTTTATTTTATGACTCTTGTACCACTTTTATTTTTAATTTTGCTCTGTTAACTAGTGCATCGTGCAATAATTAGTCCCATGCTTTGATTCTCAGCTGTTATTTTTAATGAGTCCTGAGTAACCTGTGGGAGAATTGCATGCTCTTCGTTGCTGTCCCTATGGAACTGTACATGCATCTAATCTGGATGAGTTCATGGTAGCCCTCATTTTTGAGTAATATGGCTATTTTCTTCTTCATAGGACTGAGTTTGCCCTAAAAGAAATCATGTCATCAGGAGGAGCTGAAGATGATATTCCTCAAGCAGAGAGGAAAACAGTGACAGACTTTTGCTACTTACTGGATAAATCCAAACAGCTATTCAATGGCTTAAGGTTAGTGTGTTTTTGACAGTATTCCTTCAGAAAAGCATCGGAACATGCACTTTAGTATGTGAGTGATGCTGAAGTCAGTTGTACAATGAACATTTTGAATTCAAACCCAACAAGTTTGTTTAGGAGAGAACAATGTGCACCTATGTATGGGTAGTTTTGCACCATGTATGTCAGAGTGTCTGTAGCAGAGGTTCATGCATTTCTTCTGAGACAGTAGGGAAGGAAATGTGAGAAAGCTGAATGTCTTGGTCATGTCAGTTAACAGTAAACTAGAGGTTGGAAATTCCATGAAATTGATAGAATTTGTACTGAAATGTTGTGTATGAAGTACACAATTAAAGACTAGGTGGGGCTGTGTACAGTCAACAGCAGCAAGTACAAAACCCCACAGTCTCCGTACCAAAAAAAAAGGGATGAGAAGGATTGGACCTAGGGCAGGGGGGAATATTTTGGGGGGGAGGAATTTAGGAAGCGATAAACAGAAACATCCAAACCATAGCCTGTATGTGTCTGGTGGAACAAACGTTTAATCTGAACTCTGGAGAAAGGTAAAATCTGCATTTATCTACAAAACATCTGCAATAACATCTAGAAAGTCTAGCTGTTTTGTTGGCACCAGTAAGAAGGGCAATAAGAGTAAGGGGAGTTCAAGGAAAATAGTTTGCATTTGGACAGTGATATAGGCATCCTGTTTATGTCAATATATGCTGATTACGTATTCAAGAGCTGGTTTATTTCTAAGCTTTGCTATAGAGTCTCTTAAGCAACATGGGTTTTAGCTCATATCTTGTTGGCAGTTCAGCCTCTTACTGGTCTCTGAGTAATACTGTATGTTTGGGCCCATATAGCTTGCTGTTATTCAAACACAGATGGTTAGCAAAGATGTTTTTAATTCCTTCTCCCCCCGCTATTGATAATCCTTTCATGTGCTTTAAAAGTTGATTACCAAATCCAGAACAAACAGTTTTTGCTCCAAAATCTGGATGGTAAATGGGCAGTAGAGACAAGGAGTTCTTGGTGATTGCATTCGACACCCCACGAAACAGGGTCTAAAGCAAAAGGATGGAGATTTTGAGGCCAGGATTTCCAGTACCCTCTGTGCCATTACACTGGCTTTCTGACATAGCTTGCTTGAAACTTTGGCCTGAGTCACTGAAGAGTACAAATTAATACGGCTCATGTCTGGATGCATGATGCTCAAGTTCAGATTGCAGATGTGCCAGAGCACCTACAGCCAGTCTGTCTTTTCCCTTGGGCATGGAGGGAGTTAGTACTTGTATCAAATTTCCAGATGAGAGATGTAGTTTCTATGTGTATCCATGGTACTTTGCCAAAAAGAAACCTTCTTAGCCAGCTAGAGGAAAAGAAAATGTAAAACACCTTTGGGTGAAATTTGGGCAATAAAAATAGAGAGATGGGCTTCAGCAGCTGGCTCTGCTGTGTGAAAAGTCGGAACATACTGGAACAGGAGCCTGCCTCTGTCGTTACTGTAACTTGACAGAATTAATGTAGTTGCTTCTTGCACTGAACTTGACCACCATTTCAACTATAAGCCCTGTGATTCCTATGGGCATAATGACTGGACAAAGCAGCATTATAATTTTCAGGTATTTCTTCTGTTAGTGCTTGTTCTCTCCTGGGTAGTTCACCTGGAAATGACTTGGCAAGTATCCTAATTCTTAGTCCAGTTGCTTGCTTTTCCCTGTAGCATAATAAATGCATTTGAAGCATCGCTGCCTTCCTCTGTTTTGAAGATGATGGTGGCCTTTGCTGCTATGTTTTATGCCATTCTCTTGTCCCTACCATGTTTCATGGAAAAGAAGTGATGGGGGAGGGAGAGAAGAGCAATGATTTCCTTCCTGAAACCTCCTCTGGGCACTTCAGCTACAGGGAACTGAGCCTATAGCTGTGTTGGCAGCTGCTTAGCTGTTCCTGCTGCCAAAAATGCAAGGGCTCAGCCTGCCACGTCTTTGTTTCAGTAGCATTTCCTTCCTCTCTTCCCAATACAGATGCCAAATACAGCATTTGAGGAAAACATATGATGATCTGCCAAGGTTGCTGCTCCAAAGTATATACTTCATTCTCACACTACCAGTGATACCATCCTTTTGTGGCCACGCCTGCTAGAATATCTTAGAGGGGCTGTACTCCCGTTTTGAACACCCTGAGCTATAAGTTAGAAACAACTGTTACTGAAGTATGTTCCAATTGCTATCTTCTCTCCTTTCCCCACTCCCACTTGCTTTTTTCTTGGAAAAAGGCTGGAAAGAGGGAGCGTGTTAGGAAGCAGTTTTTCATGGTGTACTGTCACCAGTTATTATTTTCCTTTTAATGTTAAAAAAATGCTTAAATGTGTTCAGTATCACAGAGAAGCTTGAGACTTTAAGAAATAAAAAGACTTTCCACATACGTTATGCTTTCCTGGATTTTAAGGTCTTGTTGCTCATTGTGCAGGCTGCAAGAACCATGACTGACATCCTTTCATGGAAAGAGGTGATAGCGTTTAATCATTTATTTTGTAGACTTCTGGTAAGATGCAAGTTGAACCTCTTAGTTTTGTTCCATGCTGCTGCTGCTGCTGCTGCTTTAGAAACAACAGGACCCTGTTAGCTTCAGGTAATGCTGCAGGCTGTAGCCTGTCTGGTTCTGGGAAGGGACTGGCTTCTCACACGACTGCATCTGTGAAGCAAGTTACTGTGAGTGCTACTGGTGTGCTCACTGTCTTTGTGGGTTATTAGAGGCAGTGAGGAAGCTACGCCACAATGCTGTTATCCCACCGCTGCTTAGGTTCTGGGAATAGGAGCCTGTAATTACGGCAAGCCTATGAACATAAAAGGAAATTGTCTTTTTTATCTCCTGTCAAAACTGTGAATGTATTTAAAGCTCTGAATGTTAAACTTACAGTTATTGTAACCTTCCTTTTTGAAGTGTACTGCTGAGTCTCTGGGACTTTCTCAACATCCTCGTGTCTCTGGAAGTTGTCCCTGTGTGACAACTTCCATGTGGTGCCAGCCAGACAAACCTCAGCACCTTTAATTGGTTTTAAACCAGTATTATCTGGCTTCTAAACAGCATGGCTGAAGTGAACTACTGACAGAAAATGCACAGTGCTGGTCTTTGCTGAGACTGTACAGCAAGAGTTAGATAAAATTCTGGACTGTCTATGGAATTTATCCACCAGCCTCTCTTGTGTGGCAAGGGAACCAGTCTTCTGTGCCCAGTGTGAGAAACCCGTCCTTTTAGAACATCTGAGTTTGCGTCTTCATGTCCCATTTGGAATGTTTTAAAAGCCAAGAAATTGGAAACAGTTTCCACTTGTTGGAAGCTATTGTAATGAAGTGTGTAACTGTTCTCTGAATAGAACTGTCCTAAATCAAAGCATCTCCGTTCCCTCCTCTGTGTCTGGATTCCTTCTTGCTGCTGCTTCTTCCTTCCTGTTAAGCTGATTGTGATCAGTAGCAGCATGAGTGAGTACCCCTACCGCTGCCTGGTCTGTGCCCAGCATCCTCGGCCAGGCAGACCCTGGAGGGAGATGAGGCTGTTGCCTTTTTCTCTCCATATTGCTCTAGTGTCCTTCTGTAGATCTGGAAGTAGCAAAATGTCTTGGTAGAACATAGGTCTTCTGCTCTCATTTTGGGTGTGTCATTGCTTCTGGATCATATATTCCCTGTCTCCTTCAGTGGGAGGAGCTGTATTAATAATCCACTCTGCGATCAACCGAGTCATTACTGTAGTATTCTTTTGGGCTATTTCTCACCAAATAATGCAGATCCTCTGGTCCGATTAAAAAAACTGCACTAAATGTCCTCTTTTGCTTATGCATCCATTTTCTCCCAGCAAAATTTCTTGATGCATGGGAGCAACATGCATGATGTTCAGAACATGAAGCAGTAAACGGATGGCAGCAATGGCAGCTTTTGTCTGCAAAAATCTGTGGTGAAAGCACCATAATGCATTGTCATAAATGAAGTTTTATTACAGCCATGTCAGAATACTATCAAAAGAACAAGTGCTACTGTCTGTTTCCATGGAGATCTTTCCTGTTCCCTGGGGAGCCGAGGAATTGCATGGTAATGTGCAGCTATGCCAGCTGCAATTAGACGAGCATACCGCTTGAGAAATACGCATGTGGACACCCAGCAGTGACTGTGGACAGCAGTGGCCAAACATGTGTACACTGCGCTAACAGAGGCTTTTTAAAATGCCACTAATTTTCACATATTCAGAACTAATGCAGCACAGTGAACTAGGTTTTATAAGAATGCTTAGGCTCGTACAGAGAATTGAGGGGGTGACAGGTGCGCAAGGGAAGATGACAGGTGAGGTATAAAGAGCATATTAATTTACTGATGAGGGATATATGCATAAGCATGATCAGCAAATAGTTACCTGCTTATTTCTTAATTTGTGCACGCACCTACTTCTTGGTGTTTGAGAGAAGGAGGATATATATTCTTGTTTCCTTGCTTGAATGTCCTAAGCAACTTGGCCTAGAAAGCCATATTTACTGCTGGTAGGGTTCTTTGAGTCAACTTGCTAATTCAGTCATTCTTTAAGTTAGTGCCAGGGAACTTTTCTGTTTTTATTTTTACTAATCAATTTTAGTGTTATTTTGTATTTGTATTCACTTCTTTCAAACATTGAATTTTGTGGATGTGCTAATTAAATTGAACTACCTCTTGCTATATCAAAGCCTGCAGTATATCTTAGACATGTATTTGGACAGTTTAACTTCTTTTGTGTAGCTAAAATGTTTACATCTATTACAACAATAAAAATGGTGAATCACTGGTTGCAGTAAATGCTTTAAATTTGTATGTGTTTGTATTAAGCTATCTTTGGATGAAGATGTTGGTGCCCTGAAAAGTATGCTCCAAGATGTTGAGCAGCCAATTGCAACTTCGAGGGGAATTTTTTTTTAATTTTTTTTTTTTTTTTTGGTAAACTCTTGCCCGGATTCCTCAGCATCTTCATAGAATAGCAGCAGCAAGTACAGGAATGGTTTTCCAGGCTGGTAAGAGTTGTAACCAGTAACAGATTCATTTTACATGTAGTAACTAACCTAGGTCCCTTCAAGCTGTGTGGGAAATACAGTTAGCTGATGAGCAAAGGAATAGTAATTTCCTTTTCTACCTAGGGTGCTGTTAAAGCAATTGCAGTTAGTGGAAAGGTGCCAGTACACTGCTCTGGAAATCATAGCATGCCGCTTTGCTTGTCTTGCTCCTCCAGAGGACACGGCATGGTTTCCAAAAGGCGGTGTTTCCCTCAGTCTCGACCTCCCAGGCTTGGAAGTGGAACATGCTGCTTTTCTGTGCCTGTCTGCTGAAGACTGAGGTGTTGGATGATATGTTGACCAGCACAGTGACTGGAGAAAGCATTCCCTGGAGAAATCACTCTTGAATCAAATGGAGAAATCACTCTTGAATCAAATGGAAGATTGTGCCATCTTGAAAAAGCTGTTCCACTTCCACAGAGAGTTGTATACCTCCTTTGAATCAGCTTCAGTATAGGTTTGTAGGCAACATGTGCTCAGTGAGACTAAGGGTTTTTGGTCTTCTCTGTTGCATTTGTTCCAAGATTCAAGTAAGTCCCAGGTGACGGCCTTCTGTTAGGATTGAGAGCACAAACCTTTGAAGTTAAAATCCTTAGGACTGCATCATAGTTGTGGGGTGGAGGTGGAGGGAAATACATCACAGCACGCAAAATGAGTGGAGGCGTGAAAGCAAAACTGCACTGGATTGACTAGCCTCGTAGCACTGGAGACTGATGAAGCACACAGAAGGTCTCAGGTTCTGACGTATCACTACCTATGAGTTAGAGGGTGACAAATGTTGCGGTGATGATGTAACCTGACCCAGTGAATGTTAGTGGTGAGCATCCATATGCTTGCTTGACCTAGTGACATTTGATTTGGACAGCTGATTTATGTATGATGTTAAAGGGTCTGTTTCTGAAACAGTGAACAATCTCATGCATTTAAAAAAGATTATTTCCTTGATGAGTAGCAAGACATATTATCAATCTAAATGAACTAATTTCCATCAGATTATTCTGCTTGTTCTTGGGTAGGTTGGTTTGTTTTACTGTGATATTTTAAGAGTCCAATTTTGCTTTCTGTGCATATAACCATAAAATTACTTCTCTTTTAGCAAGATGGTAAGATGTTTTCGATCACTTGTTGAAAAATGCATGTAGGAACATGGTCATTTCCTATTTGGACTGATTATTTGTAGGCCTGTTTTGATGCTGTTGAGAACCTGTTAAAATTGAGGAACCTTGATAAGGGCATGTTTATAGGGGTTAGAGAACATGGATTGCTTTTTGCCCTGTGGACCGTATTTGTCCATAAATACCAATGTTTTTGCATACGTTTGTGCGTCTGACCAACAGCTGGACAAGCACTCTTGGCTAGGACATTAAGGATTGTGGATATTGAGTGGCAATAGACACTAGAATAACTAGAATAATTCTACTGTTCTTTGGACAAGTGATTGAATTACAGGTCTTGCATTTGAAGGTTGAGTTATTGTCTTAGTAGGAAAAGTTTTACTTCAAAAATTTATGGTTAAGCTGCACACCTTCAGCTTGATCTTATAGTATCATCCCTTTTTGTAAGGAACCTGCAGAGCTCAGGCAGTTTGAGACACTGGTTCGCTGTGTCCCTGTATCCCCCAACAGTGATTAAGGATAGGGAATCACTCGGAAGATTTGCGATATGCAATGGGACCTTTAATAACACTGATAACTTCAATCCTGTTGCATTTGGAAAGTGCCTAGAGAATTCGTTCAAAAGTAGGAAGAATAATTAGGACACAGCACTGGAGGATTTCTTCCTCCCCCCAGTACATGCTTCTTTCTCATATACATATGCATATGCAGTCTTTTCTTGTAGATATGTTAAATGAATATGCTTGTGGCATGTTTTTAGGATACTGTGGTCAGATATTCATAGATGTACTTCCTACAAACTAAACAGGATTTCCTTGCAGATTCCAATAGCAACAGGTTTTGAGAAACTATGAGAATCATGGTTCTTGTAGTTCTGGGTGCAGGCAGAGTTATAAAGCATTTCAAGTCAGTTCTGAACAAAGCTGTTCAGAGATTGACACACATGTGCTGCTGTCACATTGGGCTGGCTGGAACCTATTTCTTAACTCTTCATTTATCACTTGTCTGTTGCAGGGATTTACCTCAGTATGGGCAAAAGCAGTGGCAATCCTATTTTGGGCGAACATTTGACGTTTACACCAAACTCTGGAAATTTCAACAGCAACATCGGTAAGGGAATGTTGTAGGCAGACGTGTGCTGTGGATTTAAGTGCAACTTTAATCTCTGGTATGCCTAGGGGCCCCAGTTAAGATTGAGATTTCACTGCGTTATTCAAGCGTGAAGGAAGGGAATAGTCACTTCCTGTAGTGCTCACAGTCTAATGAATTAAAATATTGCAGAGTTTTCAGTGTGACTTTTTTAACAAAACCTTTTGCTCTACTTGAATGCACGTTGCTTTAATGTATTACCAAGGAGAAGCTGGCACAATGGCTTCTGCAGTGCAGAACCCATCTGGAATGGTGTGAAGCGCCTTGCTGCAGCGTGGGCTCTGAGCTTTCACACCTTAATGTTGACGGCACAGTCTGAGTGTTCTCCTGGGAAGTTGTGACTTTTTGTTGTGTGTTATTTTGTGCAACATACTTATGTCTAGCTCTCACAAGTTTATGCAAGATAAATGGTCCTTGTTCTGGTGTGCGTATGCAGTGCTGTTGACTCTGTGAGGGACTGCTACTGGAAATGCCACACCAGTAAGGAAAGCTGAATTTGGCCCTACCGTGGCTCCTTGTCTTGTCTGGTGTGATGTTCTGAGAAATTCTGGAATGCCTTTTAATCTTTCTTTTCTCTCTTGCGAAATAGACAAGTATTGGACAATCGGTATGGGTTGAAGCGGTGGCAAATTGGGGAAATTGCTTCCAAGATTGGGCAGCTCTATTACCATTATTAGTAAGTAAGCACAGAAAAGGATTCAGTAGGGGAATGCAGCTCCACGCCAAACATCTGGACACTCAGTCAGGAGAAATGAGTGTATCAGTTGAGTCATGATGCCTGTTTCTGAATGAGAAGGCCCTTGGGACTGTGTGGGGGTGCTGCAGAGAAAGGCACCCCTGAGCCCAATACTGTATTGGTAGTCACGGTGATACTGCCTAAGGACTTACCTCCTACCTCTAAAGTGTCTCTAAGTCTTCCATGCGTGCTGCGTTTGACTGTTGTGCAAACGTGTGATTTACAAGTTTGGGAGCTTCACGTTCCTTTAAACTTTTCAATTAACCTGTCACCTGTACATGTGGGTACAAGATGGGCAGATTTGATTGTTATCTGAAATGGAATCCAAGCTCTGAAATCTGTCTTCCCAGCAGGGACAAAGAATGAGAGTCTGGCTTTCATATGATATTACTTGAGGAGGGAGTTTTGCCATTGATGCACAAGATGGTTGAGGGGGCAGGAAGGGAGGGTTTGGCATGGATTTCCATCTGAAGCAGTGAGCTAATCTGGTTCTTCCTCTGCAGCTTGCGCACTTCAGAAACCAGCTATCTCAATGAAGCTTTCTCCTTCTATTCAGCAATTAGGCAAAGGTCATACTACTCCCAAGTCAACAAAGAAGACAGGTATGTCTGAATGAATGTCCTTGTTTTTTCAAGACTAGAACGGTGTATGAAAGCAGCAAATAACTATAAACGGTAGGAGCATACCTGGGATAAAATCAGTGTTGTTGGAGGAAGTTTCTTTTTAATCCTTCTGCCATGATTAGAAACCTGTTTCAGACAAAGTAGGATTGACTAAGCAAGTTTCTAGATGCTGTCAGAAGACTTTAGACATGGATGAGTAATTATGGGCTATGCTGACTTGCAGATCTCTAAGTTGACCCAGGTGGGTGGACTCTGAGCCAGCTGTGATTATCAAGTGATGCAGTGGGGTCAGATATTGCCTGGGAACTGGCAAAAGGTTTGAAGATCCAGCTATTATATTTGACTTCCATGCCTATTCTTATGTAAGGAGACCAGGGAAGCAGAAGGCTGTGGCTTTCTTGATGTATATTTTATGTCCTTGTACTCAATTTTAAATAAACCTCTAAGCAGCCAGGTAGCTATTGATCTCCACATGAATTCAGTTAGAATTCTTCGTCTGCAGAGTGTTCAGCCTTGCTCTAGTCTTAAACTCCTCCTCCCCCTTACCCCTGTTGCCTACCTATGTTCTATTTTAATCTCAAATTTGGCTGTGGTGTTTTTGTTGTTGTGTTTAGGCCTGAATTAGTGGTTAAGAAGCTGCGTTATTATGCAAGGTTTATAGTGGTTTGTCTCTTGCTCAACAAAATGGATGTTGTAAAGGACCTTGTAAAGGTATGTCAAAATGAAGATAAAGGTGCTAAGGGGTGGGAGGTTGCTGGTTATTCAGGACTTTTCTCCTGATTTAAGGAATCCATAATAGAGTCTATTTCAGTTGAAATATCACTCATTAGATCTATGATGTTTGCTGCTGCTGCTGCAGCGTAGCTTTTCATTTTTTTTCTCTCATTTAATTGATTGTACTGTTGGATGTCACGGAAGGAATAACATGGCTGGAGCTATGGAAAGATTCAGTATGATGTGAACATTTGGCTAGAAAAAAACTTTACAAATTCATATTATTACTTAGGAATAAATTGTAAGATGCATGTTATTCATGTGAAAGTGTGGGGATCGTCTGAGTACATCTTCATTCCTTTAGTGGATTTAAGACATTGGTGGAATCTCCCCCAGCAAGTCAGTCTTCATGACACGTTGTTGCTTGAAAAGCCAGTGTCTCCTAGCTTGATGTTGAGCTTATTTGTCTTCCCTTCCAAACTGCTATCGCTCTGTCCTGTGTCTAGAACACATCCTAAATACATTTTGCACCTTCCAAAGACCCATCAAAATTAAACCTTGCTAAATGATGTAGGTATTACTGTGCAATTGGAGAGGCTGGATGTGCATATGCCTCTGCTGTGGGAGTAAAGCACTGAACGCCTATAAACACAAGGCTGTAGGTACAACAGGTAGAGTACAGGCCAATGTTGATCATTGCTTTTCTAGTATAGCTGACATCCAGCATAGTGAATATCTTCTGTGAATCAAACATTTAATAATGACACTTTAAACTCAAATGATTTGATAGCATTGTTTGAACACCAAGTAAAATATTCCAATAGCTGCAGCCTCGATAGGATACAACAAAGGAACAATATGCTTCTCCTGACAGCATATGCTTCCCAAACCTCTCTAACAACCTTGCTGCAAGCAGCTTCTGGTATTGACAGTTTTGTGTAGGTTGCATTACTGTCTTTGTGTCTAAGCTTACTTGAACTGCTAGCTTAGCTTAGTAGCAGCTAAAAAAGCCATACCATTCACTTCCTCAATGTATTTAAAGTTACTTGTAAGCTGAAATTTGAGTCCTTGGTATCCGTAGCTTATGGTAATAACCAGTGACATAGCTGTACGTGAGTGGGATGGTTATACTTAACTTCAGATATTCTCTGCATTTGGACCTACTTAAAAGACACTTTGCATTGCCAAAACTCAGTGTAACGTTGGCATTCTGTCTCCTGAAAGAGCGCGTTTTGGCTGGCATGTTAGTCATAAGTGCGCTGCATATGTTCTCAAGTAATGGGTTTTGGGTTGGTTTTTTTTTTTATTATTCTTAAAGGCCAGCACAGCTAACCAAATTGTAAAGTTACTGACTGCGTGTTAAGCTCTCAGTTTAAGAAGTGACTATGTCTGTCTCTGAACTTTATACATCAGGAGCTGTCAGATGAAATCGAGGACTACACTCATCGTTTTAATACTGAAGATCAGGTGGAGTGGAACCTGGTTCTTCAGGAAGTGGCAGCGTTTATTGAGGTGAGAATACCAGTCCCTTTTAGTAGTTACTTTAAAATTTTCTGACTTGTTCACCTCTGTGTGGTACATGCAGGGACTGTATTCCTGTCCAATTTAATCACTGAAATGCATTCACAGTAGTGTCACAGTGATGGCCATTAAAGTGTCTGAAGAGTCAGACCTGGTTGTATAACGTATTGAAGATAGAAGCATGAAGCCGAGATACACTTGGTCACTGTATTGGTTTTGCTCTTGGTGTTCAGAGAATGGTGGAATTGAAAGCACAGCAGTTCTCATGGTCAATATTTTGGAGAGACTGCTAACTCCAGTCCTGTTGTTGTGGAAGCCAATCCAATTTGCTGATGTTTTGATTGTGTTTCAAAGTGTACTTTGTTGGAGTACTGGTGTATTACACTGGCAATGCATAAGCAGTCTATAATGGAAAATATGGTGTAAGCATGGCAGTTCACTGAGAGGCTCTTAGCATAGTTGTAATGTGACCAATTTTGAGAGTTTGTTAAAAGGAAAATATTTGTTTTATTCTGCCAAGTTGAGACCATGTTTTACTTTCCCCCTTTCGTACAAGATGTCACTACGTAACATGAGTATTTATTTAAGTATTGCCAGAATGGATGGCAGCGTTATCACTTGGTCATCTCCTTTGCTATTTATTTCTAGGAAGGGAAGGTGAACTAAAATAGTGCTGGGTTCTTCTGTATTGTAGGAATGTTTAGTTTATTCTGTATGAATTTATAAGGTTGCTGGTGACACTTGGTTCCTCAGGTATAGAAAAGCTGAAGCAGAATTTGTGTCACTTGAGGAAGTATGTTTTTCTGTTTACTGTACCTTTATGTGCTTGTACTATGGATTTGCTTGCAGTCCCTAAGAGCTGTTGCTTTTCCAAGTGGTAAGGCATTACTCTGTAGCCTGCATACAAATATACAAAGAGATATATGGCAAATTAATTTTAAAAATCTGCCTCAGTTATGAAATGTTTAATGCAAGTTATGAGACCTTTGGACTTCTCTCTGACTGCAAATATGTATGTTTTCTTGAATTCCTGATTTATTCTGGTTGCTTTTTTTTTTTAGGCAGACCCTGTCATGGTTTTAAATGACGACAACACCATTGTAATCACCTCTAACAGGCTTTCTGAAACAGGAGCTCCGTTGCTAGAGCAGGGAATGATAGTGGGACAGCTTGCTCTTGCAGATGCACTGATTATTGGGAACTGCAACAACCAGGTAAAAGAAATTCCGGGGACTTGGGTTTGTATCTTTGGAGTTCAGAGTCCTTTTCCCTGTGACATCCCTTCTGATTATACAACAGAGATTCCAGTAGAGGCAAACATTAAAATATTTTGATTGTGATGTTTGCAGTGCCAGCAAGAAGAAGAGGTTCTCAGAAATAAGAGCTAAAAATGAAATGGTAGATAGTAGACCTGTGGTACTAACCTCTTATGCTTATATTCATCATGTCAATTAAGTAGCTACAATTGATTTTCATATACTGGATTGTTTTTAACAACATTCAAACATGAGAGGCCTCTGGGCTATGTCTAGAAAAAGCTTGACTTAGGCTTTCACATGACATACTCCAGCTCTTTGCAACTTCAGTTGCACAGGAAGAGGTTTTCAAAAAACAGTCAAGATCTTGGTTTTTAGATGATGATGATAGTGAAGCTGTACAGAACTCATGACTTCTCTCTGAGCTCTTTTTTCAGGTAAAAAAGGAGTTGTATCTAAACTACAGTTTCTGTATCTTTTTCAGATTTTTGTCTAAATTCATAGTACATAGCAGTTTCAGTACATGATTTGTAACCACCCCAGAAAAGTCAGTAATTTGCAAATTAGGGGTCTGTACTACAGTGAACTGGCTTGGAGGACCCGTAGTAAATAGACTTTGTCCTCTGTGAGCTCTTCTAAAAGTCATTCACAGGTCCTTAGAGATTCCAAGATGACACTGACAGATCCCTGAGAGACAGAAAATGGTCTGTCTCATATGCAGTTGAATCTCTTACCTGGATACCTCCAAAGAAACACTGTTTAATCTGTATCTGGCAGAATAAACTGTTGACTCTCTTGCAGGTCAAGTTCAGTGAATTAACAATTGATATGTTCCGAATGCTACAAGCACTTGAAAGGGAACCAATGAATTTAGCGTCACAAATGAACAAACCTGGAATGCAGGTGAGTTCCATTTCAGTGACAAATTTGGCAACAGATCTTAACTGGGGATTTTTTGTTTGTTTTGCTTCAAATGGTGTACTGTTTCAGTATGGTCACTGTGCAGAGCAGGTTAGTAAAGCTGGTGTAACTCTTACAAGAAGTCAATGACAAGCAGCTCAAACCTATGGAGCTTGATCCAAGTAGTGTCTTTCCCCCCTGCTTTCTTTTTTTTCTCCTTAGCAAACCTTCAATCGTGAAAAAAATAGCAGCAATGAATATTTGGGCATCATTTCACAGAAGGTTTACATTGGTCTAGCCAAGGCACTTCTGAAGGAGTGCCATGCCTGTCCTTATCCTTGTACATTTAGCCCTTGCTTTGTTTTCACTCTAGCAGTCATGCAGCCAGATGAGTTCATCAGCTTCCTAAGTCATCTGAAAGTTAAATATCCCCTTCAGAGAAAGCATAAAAAATATTTTATCTAGGGGCAAAAGGAAATATGTAGATTTTCATTTATTTGAGATGAGGAGTGAATATTTTCACTCTTTCCTTGGGTGATGCTTTAGAGAGTAAGAAAGATTTAGGTAACCGATTTAAGTGAGGGATAATACAAAGTTCTGGTTCAAATACTGTGCATATTGTTTTACTTTGTAGTCGAAATGCAACATGGGCAGACCGTTTGTGTGGGAAGTATGTTGAAGATGAACGTTCTAATAAATAGAAATTTAGAGGGTTATGAAACTGCTTTGGTAATATACTGTGTTGGGGTTTTTGTGTTTTGTTTGTTGTTTTTTTTAACAGGAGTCCACGGAGAAACCAGCCAGGCGGGAAAACCCCCATAAATATCTACTTTATAAACCAACTTTTAGCCAGCTATATACATTTTTAGCAGCATCATTTAAGGTTTGTGAAATTGGTGAATTTATTTGTAATAGAAAAATATCCAGAATGACATATGATACTAAATAAAATGTGGTTGAGATAATCTTTTATACTTCAAGATAGTGAAGCCTTTTTGGCCTTCTTAAAATGTTCAATATGATCTTCAGAGAGGATGGTAATGTTATAGATATGTGTAATTTGTGTAATAAAGGCAAGTCTGTTGACTGCTGTTAAGGGAAAGAAAAAAATTCATTGTAAGATAGAAACCCAGCTTGCTGTTATCCAGTAGTTGTTGTACCATCCAACCATCTTCAAAGCGAAACTCCTGTTAGTGGCTGTCCAGTGTCAAGCGTGGTGCGTGGCAGTACTATGGAAAGCCTTAAGTAACGCGATGTAATAGTCGCATATGATTTCATGTTATCCAATAATTTTATTTGTGTGGGTGTACCTACACACGCATATATACAGACATTTATATTTATATATATAGAC